TTACTATTGGCATAAATTGCATGTAGGGTGAAAACTTGAAAAAAATTAGAGGTGAAGTAAGGACTCAAAAGTCTTTTTCTCTTTGTCTCTGTTCTTCCTTTCAGGAAGAGTAAGAGACAAAACTATGGAGAGCAAAAGAAAAGATAAACAAAATTACATCATGCACAGTGTTCATATTTTTGAAAATGTCCAAAGTTTACTTATGACCTACCCAGCATAGTTAACTCATTATCCATGTTTCTTTGTGTTGATGGCTTTATTTTTTACAGATGGCTGGTAATTACAGTGTTAATTAAAGGACCAATCACTAGTTTTTCTTGAGCTTTTCACTGATATAATGGGAATAATTTATTTTGAGCACAAATAATAAAATTGCTTTAGCACAAAGGTGAAAATTAGGAGCACTATAAATTTTACTTGATGTTGCTTTGCCAGTGGACAAACTTTTCAGCAGACAATTTTGTACTCTCCTGTTCAAGTTCTAGCAATTCCACTGAAGTTTCAGGATGTGTTTCTCATTGCACTCACTAGGTATCATCATGAAATTTTAAAGAGGAAACACTATCAGAATAGACAGTAGATGAAGAGGAATAACATTATCAGTTGTGAGAGTCTAAAGTTCTTTAAAGGTCATTGAGCCTGTTTCCTTCCCTTCATATTTGAAGGCATTTCAGCCTGTGGAGGTGCAGCTCATTCAAAATCATGTAGCTGGGTAAAGGTGGATCCAAGCCTAGATACCAGTCTCTTAATTATGTATCCAGTTCTCTTTCTTGTTAAGGAAAAAATCTATTTAATTTTAAAAACACTAAGAAGATCACCAAAAATATCAGTAGAAGGACTACCCCCCTACTTTTCATTCCTTACAAGAAAAGTTTGATTTGTCCAGAAGCAGATGACCTTCACCTGTTATTTGAATTCCAATATACTTTACCCTTGTTTTTTCTTCACTCTTCTTATATTTTTATTGTGCTTCTATTAACCTAGGAACCTACAATTATGGTAGGTCAGAATGTGACTCACTCTCAAAAAACATACAAGACAGATATGGCAGAGACATAATTTCATTAGTGGAAAGTGAAGAAGTACCTACTGAAGTTCAACTTGAAAATTGTTCAAGAGAGAGAAATGCCCACATTCACTCCTCATCCTATTTGTTCATTAATTTTGGGATAATTACATTCATTTTGCACACCCAGATATATTTTCATGAGAAACATAGTAAAGTTTCATAAGTATTAAATGCACCATTAAATATATTTTTAAATTTAAATTATAATATGTTCTGATTTGTTTTTTCTATTTAAATAAATCCCTTTCATGTAGAAATATACATTCAATTGCCCTTCCTTCTTCCCTATTGAGGAACTGAATGTGTGTGTATTTAATAAAAAGAAGTACTGATTAAGTAGAGGAAAATTTTAAATTCAAGTTAAAATTCAGTCTTGAAACACAAACTATTCTTTGTCTATATTATTGTTCACTTTTAATGTCCTTCCATGATCCATTTCTCTTGACAAGGCAGTAACATAAAAGCATTCCAATTATCTATAATAGAAAATGCAATTTCATTCCCAAAGAACAAATAAAGCATGATACTAAAAGGTGGCAGGAATAAAACTGACCCAATCAATTATTAAATAGTTAAAGAAATGTGGCCTTCAGAGCTATGGTTAGATAATTGTAGATGGTTCAAAGTTATGGAATCACATTCTGTTTCAGTATATGTATTGGTCAACTCGGACTGCCATAATAAAGCACCACAGACTTGGGTGGCTAAAACAACAGAAATTTATTTCTCATAGTTCTGGAACCTGGAAATCTAAGATTAAGGTATGAGCAAGATTGTTTTTTGTGATGCCTCTGGGCTTGCCTCCAGAAAGTCACCTTCTTGCTATGTCCTCACATGGCCTTTTCTCTGTATGTGACACTCCTCGTGTCTCTTCCTCTTCTTATAAGGAGAGCAGTCCTATTGGATCAGGGCCAACCTTTATGACCTCATTTAACCATAATTACCTACTTAAAGGCCATATCTCCAAATAGTCATATGGGGGTTAAGGCTTAACGTATAAATCTGGGGGAGACACAATGGAGTCCATAACAGTATGAACTTCAAAAACCATTATAAAGTATTGTATACTATGGATCAATAGCAGTGATTACAATTTGCATTTGGATCCAGTAACCCTGGACTATCCATATGCCATGTTATTTTTATTGTCCATCCTCCCATCTATTTTAATGGCTATATCTCTGTCCAGGATTGCCATGGCATTCTGGGTATATGAATAGTATAATGTGAAGCAATCTGAACTGTTCTTTTTAAAATATTTTTAAATATTTATTTATTTATTTATTTTTATGGCTGTGTCGGGTCTTAGTTGTGGCACAAGGGATCGTCCTTGAGGCATGTGGGATCTTTCGTTGCAGTGCACAGGCTTCTCTCTAGTTATGGTATGCAGGCTCCAGAGCATGTGGGCTCTGTAGTTTGCAGCACGTGGACTCTCTAGTTGAGGTGCAGGAGCTCAATAGTTGTGGTGCGCGGCATCAGTTGCCCCACGGCATGTGGGATCTTAGTTCCCCGACAAGGAATAGAACCTGTGTCCCCTGCATTGGAAGGTGGATTCTTTACCACTGGACCACCAGGGAAGTCCCCTGAACTGTTCTTATTGTCTAATTGATATGCAGATAATAACATTAGTATCTACAATTAAGAACTCACTACATGCCAAGCAACCTGCTAATTTATTTATATTTATTATCTTATTTAATCCTCCTAACAAGTCCATTAATTCTATGAAGTAGTATTATTATTATTTTCAGTAATTTACATAAGAAAACATAATACTTAGAGAAGTTAAATCCTTTGTCAAAAGTACCACCTCTGCCTCCCTAAGGCCTATGCACCTGTTAGAGTCTGCCCAAACCCTAATTCTTTGCTTAAGCCCTCAACCCCTATTTAATTGATAAAGACCCAAAATGTAAAGCTCAGTTTCTTTAGGATCTTGTTGTTAAAGCCATCATAAGTTAAGTCAAGCATTGCAGTTTAAATTCTCTTGCCCAGACGCAGCAATTAAAAGTCGAATACGCATGGTGTGACATATTCCTCTACAAGCATTAATAGTTCTCTCCCCATCCACTAAAATTTAAAAGCCAAGCCACAGGCCCTGGACAAATGGACTCCTCAAGTACTACATGTGTTCTTCTTCCCCAAATGTGATTTTTATCCCCTAAAACTACAGATCTCCCCTATTTTGCAGGTTTAGGGCCTAGAACCATAAACCAGATGGCATGGAGGTCACTCCATGAGCAAGTTCATTCTTACTGGGAGGAACTGAGAGGGAGGGGTAGGGCCAAACCTTCTCTGTTTTTCCTTCCAAATTCACCAATCAATTGATACTCCTACCTCCCCTAGAGTGAAGTATGTGAGAAGCAGAAAGAAACTAGTAGTGCTCACATCAAGGCATTTACTCTTCAAAATCCTGCCTCAATAGTAATTATAATTTACAGACTAATTTATATAACTGCTGAAATTTGATTTAACCAGAATTATGAAGAAATTCCATTAGAGAGATGAAGAAGCGGATATGTCATTGTGTGTGTGTGTGTGTGTGTGTATGTGTGCATGCAATTTCAGGTCAGGTCATACAAGAGAATTGCATCCTCATCTGCCATAAATGGATATAGGATGATATTGAAAATAGAAAACTCAACTTTAAGCATATTTTATATATATGAAAGGAAACAGAAGAAATAGCTTAAGAGTTCAAAGTAGTTGCTTCAAAGTAGCATAACTCAGGGGTGGGGCAAAGTAGTTGCTAGGAAAATATCTTTTTTATTTTTTAAGATTTGTAGTATTATTTGACCCAAATATATATATATAGCTTTGATATAAATTTTAAATACCATGGAATAATAACAAAAGAAATATCAAATCTTTGTCTGTTATTCTAATGCCTAATTTAGCCAAGAAAACAAAAGAAAAGGGAAGAAGGAAGGAAATAAAGTAATTCAAAAACAACTAGTTCTGGTAGCAGGTAGAAACTTATGGTCAAGATTAAGACAATGACATTGCATCTCTGTAGGTGCTTTTTTATAAGGAAAAAACAGAAAATGTTGCAGCATAAATATTTTCAAAATGCATTTTTAGAGATCCATGCCAGCTCTCAAGTTCTCTAGAGTTGCACTGTCCAATATGGTAACCATTAGCTACATGTAGCTATTTAAAATTAAATTTAAAATAATAAAATGTAAATAAAATTTTAAATTCTATCCCTCACATTAGCGACATTTCATATGCACCAAAGCCACATATGGCTTATGGCAATCTTTTTAGATAGCAGAAATAAACATTTCCATTATTGCATAAATTTCTATTCGGAAGCACTGCTCTAGGCCTTGCTGTTTATTCACTGAATTTGCACAAGACTATACCCTGAAACCCACTATCCTGAAGAGAAATAAACAAACCTGCCAAGGTATCAATGTCTTTATAAAACCAAATATTTTTAATGTCATTTAGAAACAAGTCTGATATTCTAGCCCTGAACTGGGACTACTTCATTCAGATTCTACAGGCATTTGTTAAGCACTAATTGTGTGCCAGGCAGTGTGCTGGATACCAAGAAAACAATGTTACTCAAGATGCTCAAAATCCAGACGTAACATCAGCAAAATGATGGAATAGGAAGCCCCAGACCCCAGTGCACTACAGAAACATCAACATACAGCCCCAAAAGCTTCTATGAGAACTCCAGATATCAGTTAGGAAGATGCAGCACCCAGGCAAGCTCAAATCCAAGAACAGCCTCAATGAAACAGGTAAGAAAATTCCAACCATGCTCCCAAAGCAAGCACAGTTTGCAATTGGGAGGAAAAGTCCAATTGCGGCTTCTCCTTTGGGAAGGAAAGAGAAAGGGAGAATGTACATTCAAAGCTCTAGATTGTGGGGGGACTACTTTCTGTCTCACCTGACTCAGGGCACTGACAGGGAACTGGCATACCTTGAGTGTCGGGGAGCTGCAGAGAACAAAAGAGAATTCAGCAGATTGTGGCAGCACTAGAGAAGTGGTAAAACTGCAGACAAAACAGCCACCATTCTCCATGATCAGGAGTAAGCACCCACTTTGTGTCTTCCCCCTAGAGAAAGAAAAAAGAGTAGAGCATAAGTCCAATGTTCTCGCTTTTGTGGGTGCAGTCTGAGAGACTGGTTTCTGTCTCATCTGATGTGGAGCGCTGACAGAACAGTTATACTTTGGACACTTGGTGGGTGCACAGAGCTTGGTGGCTTCAGGCAGAGCCAGAGAAAAGCAGCAAACCTTTCTAATTGAGAAATCATATACACAAGCCCAGAGAAGGTACATGCTCAGAAAAAGTTGGAAAGACCCCCAAAAATCTGTAGCTGGGTTGATGGGTAAAAGTCTTTCCTTGAATAAAGCCAGTCTGTAAGACTGGAAGAGGTGTCTATTTTTTTCAACTGTGTGACTCCCAACACAAAGTTACAAGGCACATGAAGAAACAGGGAAATATGGCCCAATCAAAGGAATAAAATACATCTCCAGAAACTGACCCTAAAGAAAGTAGCACAGTATTGTTAACTATGCTCACATTGTTGTAAAGCAGATCTCTAGAACTTATTCACCTTCATTAAATGAATCTTTATACCCACTGATCAACTCCCAATTTCCTCCTCTCCCCAGCCCCGGGCAACCAACATTCTACTTTTTCTTTCTAAGAGATTGATCACTTTATTGATTTCATATAAGGTATCTAAAGTTAGATTTCAGGTTATATGTTTTTTACCACAATAAAAAAAAGGAATTTAAAAAAAAAAGATGCTCAGGATCCATCTGGGCTTTGAATAATTAAATAAGGCTATACACTACTGTTCAAAACAATGTGATAAGAGCTATTATAGGACAGTATAGAGTGATAAGGGAGAATAGAAGAGAAGCACTTAGCTAACATCTAAGGCTGTCAGGATCATCAGGAAAGGCCTTCCAGAAGAACTAGTATCAAAGCTAGGGATGAAAAACTAGTGGCACTTTCCACACAAACATGCAAGTTTAGAAGATGAGGTAGTATTTATTTCAGTCAAAAGGAAGAGGATGTAAGAAAGGTTAAGGGCAACAGAAAGCATGTTTTAATTTGTAGTGGGGAAGTATGGGGTAGAGGGAATGGTGAAGTGATAAGGAGAGAATGAAGAGAAAAATCTTAGTAAGAAGTTGTAATCAGGGACTGTATCACATAGGGACTAGTAAAATATTTAAAGAGTATGGTCTCCCAAGCATTCATCTAATAGACTGTAATTTTCATATTTGTTTTAGTCACACCCGGAACAATACTCTCCACATCATATACAGTATGTTGAATGTATTAAATATTCAATAAGTATGCACCGAAAGACAATAAAGTAATGTAAATATATGCTTGGATTTGCATTTTAGAAAGTTCTACTTACATTTGGAAAAAGGGATTGTAACAAGCTATCATAATATTAATTCTGAACAGTCTTTGAACTTGTATCTGAAAAGAACAACCATAATGCCATGTATATTATGAAGCATACTATATACCTGTTAAGGCTAATGTATATATCTATAACTATAGCTAAATGTCTGCATGCATGTGTGTGTATAAAATATGTTTATGATGTTAGCATAATAGTATTTTAATGACGCATTTATATATTTCTCCTCTGTTGACAGTTTTATTCTCACTTCCAAAATTTGTATAACACTTTTATATATAAGACTATTAGAGAGTTGGGGCCAAGAGAGTAAACATATGCACCTCAGCACATTCTTAGTTACTTCTTGCATAAAATGTTTAGGTGCTAATGGTATATCAAGAAGGCAGGTATCAGTTAAATGAAATATCTATTAGCCTGGGAACAGAAGTTCCAACAAAGGCACAGACTGCATTAACAGTTGGATGGGCATTATCCATGATACGTTTGTCCTTGGTATTCAAAGATAATAGCTAGTGGATGGTTTTCTCTCAATATGTGAACATATATGGAAAACCACAAGTGTGTGACCAGCTGCTCACAGGTGAAAGCTCTACTGAGCCCTTCATTTTTGGCAGCTCAACCCCTTTGACTCATGCCCTACATATGCCATGGATTGGGAAAATGTACAGAATCCGCTATTGTTTTACACCAATTCAATCGACTTGTTGCTGTTTCCCACTACTGCACAGCTGTATCAAAGGGTTTGCATGCTGCCTCAGGGGTCACAACTATAAGCTCTATAGCAGATGATTTTTAGGTACAGCATCAATTGTGACTTTCAGAAAAGCTGTTTGAGAGCCACAGCATACATGACTGGAAGGGATGACAAATTTTAAGTAAAGCCTTTAATTTTATAAATAAGAAAACATAAGTTTATAGAATTTAAATTGATAGGCAATAATGCTACATTGGTTAGTTACACAGTTGAGGCTGGTGCTCTTTCCAATATATAATGTTGTTATTAAAGTAGTCCATTGACAAAAGCATTCTTCCTTTCCTTTCCTTTTCTTTTTTCTTCCTTTATTCTTTCTTTCCTTTTTTTCTTCGCCCTTCCTTTCTTCCTTCTTTCCTTCCATCCCTCCTTCCTTCCTTCTTTCCTTTTATTTAGGCAACCACTCATTTGCTAATTCACTTATTCACTTTTTTTTTTTTGCCAAGCACCTAGTGTGTTCTAAGATCAATGCTAATTGCTAAACCATAAAAAATATAAGCTATAACCACAGCTATAAAGATACTAGCTAAGGCTTCAGGAATAAGAGAGTATAGACTCACTTTTCCCTGTTCCTTCTAAGTATAATTATATACCCTGGAAATTATTTCATAGACAACAGTAAGAGAAATCTGAAATCTGAAAAAAGAATGTGTACTGGCTAGAGAGTGCAGGATTTGAAGAATAACAACATGGCAAGTTACCTGGGTTTTCTTTTCATCTTCCATATACCTTGGACTGGGCAATGGAGAGGACTGCCACAAGAAATGACCAACAGGCATAAAAGAAAAAAGGCAAAAAGAGAGGAAGAAAGAAAGATCGATAGCAAGACAGAATAAGAAAGAAGAGAGGGAGGAAGAAAGAAAAAACAGACCTGCTCTTTCTAACCAAAGGACTGGGAAAGTAGAAACCTAACAGAGACCTGATGGGGAACCCCAAGCACTTCTCCACAAAGAGGGCCTCTGTTGATGATCCAATTCACCAACAGCAGTGGCAACAGCAAAGCCTCAGCCACCCCAGCCCCTGCTCCATACCTTAGGTCAGGTGAGTGCTGTGATCTCCCAGCAGCAGCAGAAACAAACTCCTAGCTCTCTTATCACCCAATCCAGAACCAGGGCCCAGAGAATGGTCCCATCCTCTCATATCTACTGCAATAGCAAAGCCCTGTGACTTCCTGGCTTCTACCCAGTGGTATAAGGGGACTAGGTCCAGTGGATTCTTGCCTCATCCAGAATACTTCTCAGTGCCCCCACAGATGGCTCCAATAGGGCTTAAGCAGGAGTCCCAGCAGCACCAGAAAACAAAGAAGACAAAAATAACATTGCAAGGGCTCAGAAACTAAATATTCATAGGAATTAAAGTCAGAGAAGTAGACTATAACTTACACACTAAACTTAAACAGAACAACTGCCTGCTAAAATAGAATACTTAGGAAAAAGAGTCCCCCAGCAAAATAAATGTCCAGGATACAATTGAAAAAACCATTCATTATACCAAGAAACTGGAGAACAAGAATTTAATGAGAAAAGATAATCAAGGAATGCCAATATGGAGATTAATCTTATACTGAAATTATCTGACAAGATTTTAAAAGCAACTGCCTTAAAAATCCTTTAAATGAATTACAAATTCTCACAAAACACATGAAAAAAGAAAATTTCAGCACAGAAATAGAAGTTACATAAAATAACTAAAAGGAAATTTTAGAATTGAAAACTACAATAACTGAATGTTTTTTAAAAGAACTCACTAGTTGTACTCAATAGTGTCAATGAAAAGGAAGAATCACTGAACTTGAAGACAGACCAACAGAACAGAAGTTTCTGTAGAAAAATTTAAAAGAGCAAAAATTCATATTATCAGAATACAGAAGAAGAGAAAGAATGTGGTACTGGAAAAGGATTTGAAGAAACAATGGCTGAACACTTGTCAAACTTGGCAAAAGAAACAAATCTACACACTCAAACATGTGAGAACCTCAAACAACCCCAAAGAAATCCACACCAAGACATAACAAAATTACAATTCTAAATATTAAATAAAAAGAAAAAAATCTTAAAAATAGCCAGAGGAAAAGAATGTATTACCCATAAAGGAACAGCAATCTAAATTACAATGGATTTCCTATCTGAAACCATGCAGGCCAGAAGGAAGTGGCACAACATTTTTTTTAGGTGGTGAAAGAACTGTCAATTCTAAAAAGGAACCAGAAATTCTATATGCAGTGATGAAACTATCCACCAAGAATAGAGGAAATAAAGACATTCTCAGTCAAAGGAACACTAAAATAATTTGTGCTAGCAAATCTACCCTTAAATAATGACTAAAGAAAGCTCTCTCAACACAAAGAAAGTGATAACAGAAGACAAGGATCTTTAGAAAGGAAAGAAGAACAATGAACTGGATAGTAAATATAATACACTATTCTTCATCACATGAGCTTCGTTTAGCAAATATTTTGATTAAAATAAAAGTTATAACTATCTGATGTAGTGCTAAATGTATTAGAAAATTATATTTTTAAAATGGAGAGGGTAAAGGGACCTAAAGAGAAGCAAATGTTCTACACTTCTAAGTTGTAAAACATTGACACAGGGCTTCCCTGGTGGCGCAGTGGTTGAGAGTCCACCTGCCGATGCAGGGGACACAGGCTCGTGACCCGGTCCGGGAAGATTCCACATGCCGCGGAGCGGCTGGGTCCGTGAGCCATGGCCGCTGAGCCTGCGCATCCGGAGCCTGTGCTCCACAACGGGAGAGGCCAAAACAGTGAGGGGCCCGCGTACCACAAAAACAAACAAACAAACAAAAAAACATTGACACAATAGCTTGTGATGTTATATATGTATACAGCAATACCTATGACAACCACGCAGAAAATTATACAAGTGGATATACTCAAGCCATCGTAAATAAATAAAA